GTTGGTGACGACGCACCCGAAGCCCTCCTGCAGGTGTCCGGGCATGATGGGCCCCCGTCGACCCCCGCGCTTCCCTGGCCGATGGTACCTCCCGCGTGTGGGCTCCCTCAGAAATAAAACCTAGATAAAGCGGAATTAAGAGATTTGCCGTTATTAGCTAATAAAAGTTGATTTCCAGGCCTTGATCTGAAAGTTATAACAAGATTTCCCTCTTTCGTGGGCATTTCTGCTCATCTCATTAGCGGACAGGCGCAGCAGGTAGTGTCGAGTTGAGGTATTTTGCGGTATTAATAACATACTATTAATATAGCAATATACTGTATAAATAAATACTGTATATTGCTGTCTATAATAATATGTAATATATAGTATAGTACCTAAGGTAACGCATCATATATAAAAACATAACACATCATGAATTATACATGGCATGCAAAACACAATATTAATATTAATAAATATTGTATATTAATAGTAATTTATTTATGTCATTATTTCAGCATACCGCTATTATAACATTGATATAATATAACAAATATATATATATACTCGTATCTGATTATAACCAAAAGACTATTATATATATATCAAAAGATAGATATAAAATATTATATATATATATAAAACATAATAAACAGGCACAGATTGTCCATGTCCTTCAAAACACAATTTGATTGCTCACAGTTTATATCTCCAAGTCATCAGAACATTTTGGCACCTGTTATAAAATAAACTTTGTGCTCAGCAAGGATGTTATTTCCAATACTTGCTTTGCCTGCTCCAAGAAGCTTGAGATAATTGCTTTAAAAATTAATTTAATTACATTTGTTCAGTTCTTGAATACGTATGGCTCATAAATTCAAGACTCAGCCGGTTTGGAAAACTCCATGGTTTAGTTTCTTCACATAAATGGAAAATTTTTGGTTTCGTGGATTGTTCCTCATTATATTTTCCTTCGGTCCCACAGGTCCCTGTGCTCACATTTGGGAGGATTTTGAGGAAACCCCTCAGAGATTTGGGGAGAATTGGAGCAGCTCCCCCCAACCCTTCTTGGGATACAAATCATCACCAAAAATTACACCCTAAGAACCGAAAACATTCTCTT